TTAATCTTAATATTTTACGGAATATTTTGGCAGAAACCTTAAAATATAAAAGATTTTATAATTCCGGTGGAAAAGTGCAACTGCTTCTGGTGATGCACCCTAATGTATGTACATATGGATGTACTTAAATAAAGCTTTTAGACGGTGCAGAAATACTGGATTAATCACACGCAGTGTTTTCGGGCACATAACATGCATATACTTACATAAGTATATTTGGAATTTAATTAAAAGGAAATTTGTAGGCTTCCGTAAACCGCGCAGTGTAGCTGTTTGTATGTATGTATGTATCCAAAATAATCAGCCGGCACCAGTTTTCGATTTCTTTGTATACACAAAAGACCTTCAAATATTCTTTAATAAAAAATGCTTAAAACCTCCCGCTAAACCACCCATAATTCACCCAGTAAGAGCACCAAATTTGTGGCGTCAACTAACGATAAATAAGAGGAAATGGTAATACGGTAGAACCTCATAAAAGTGAGTCGTAAAACGCTGAACGAAAAGCAATGCATTCCTTATACATTCTTCCATCAAAGGTAGTAAAAATTCAGCGATATACACACATCCACATGTACTCGTAAGTACCTACACACACTTTCGCTGATTCATCGCTGTTCTAGAGCGCCTAATTCTCATCACCACCCACTCACATCAAGCAAATGTATCGCGCTTGCTTCTTCACGGGCATCTTTGAACGTCACCAGCGCGCACTTGTACACACATACGTATATACTATACACCCTCTTGGTGACGTTTAAATGCATGTAAGTATGTGCTAATAATGCATAGCCGCTGCTACCAGCTGTTTATTTGAGAGCTTTTACCCGTTGAGCTTTTCTCACCCGGTATTCGGCATTGCCAGTTCTATGCGATTGGTTCAATATTAGAAATTCAAGACACTCGGAGAAAATATTATGCGTTACTAAAGTGTGCACCTCGACTTACCGAAAGTATTTCTTGCTGTTTATTAGTTGTTTAACTGAACAATTGTGTAAAAATGTAAAAAAAAGATTCACTATTTATAATATTCACTTCACTATTAATTTTCTACGGCATAGAAAGTTTAATTATTAATTTATGAATGAGTGAATTTGATTTTGAAGTTGTCAGTTTTTCAAAGGTAAAGTATTGATTTTGAAGCTTATTTTTGGAGAGTTTTCTGCAAAGTGAAACCAATTTCTCTCCGTATGAGTAGTTTTTCAAATTAAGTTATTAATTACCAAAGGAAATAAAAGCCCGTTTATGCAAGGCTTAGGGTGCGTTCATACAGAAAGTTGAACGGCGCCGAGCGAAGCAAATCGGAACAAATCGAAGCTGCTGGTGTTTACATTGAACGAAGCGGAACAGAGCTTTTGTCTTTGTTTCAAGAGGACAAAGCATTCGTTTCATTTCTTAAGAAAATTAGGGGAGAGGCGTTTTATCAAAAGTATGCCACTCTATGAATGGGACAAAAACAGGTAGGTACATAACACAAATCGTATATCTTTGATATACAGTCAGCGTCAAAAATATGAATACCTTGACGTTGCTTTATTTATATTTTCCATATAAAATTCTTCTTATTTTTTTTTCTTTAAAACTATATTTAGTTCCATAGCAAAAACCAGCAGAATCAATTTTTTTCAATTTCATATAGAACTCGAGGAAATTCAAGAAATACCAAAAAATTCTCATTAAAATTTTACACTTTTCAATTCCACTACTTAGAAAAGTTTTTGGGTATGCATTTTTGTAGCCAATATAAAGATATATTTTGTTCATGCATTATATAGAGGAAAATGGGAAACACCCTTGACAAAAAAAAAAAATATCTAAAATCAACTGCAACTTTTAGAGACTTGTAACTTGCAACTTATTAATGGGCTTAAAACTTCATACCCAAAAGTTTTCTAAGAAATGCAACTGAAAGTTGAAAATTTTGGTGAAAAAATTGATTCTGCTGTTTTTTGCTATTGAACTAATTATATATTTTTTTGTTTTAATAACAAAAATTTAATATGGAAAATATAAATAAAGAAATTCATCAAAACGTCAGTGTATTCATATTTTTGACCCTGACTGTATATTTATAAGTAAGACCATTTAATTTTTAAATGATTACATTTCGTGCTTTTCACCGCGAAGGGATTTTTTGTCCCGGATGTAAAATCTGCACCGTTTGGTCGATTTTCAAAGATGAGGTGTCAAATTAAAGCGTTTGGCATGTAGATGTGCAAACTGATTTTATTTTTTCGATTTGGGGACTTGTACATGTGGAATTACTTTTTAACGGTACAGGGTGATTTGAAATGTCGCGGCACGCACTACTGTGATGTGTAAACAAATATGTAATGATAATGTAAAATATCTTCTAAGTTAAGCACATTTAAAATTTCTTTGAAAGCACGAAATCCGGAATTTAAAGATAATTTAAAAATTTTCTTTAACCAACTCTCCTTTCAGAAAAACCGAACCATTGATTATATTCTAGTGGCAGTTTGATGAAATGGGTTAAATTGTACTCAATTTCAGATTTCTTTTCGTATCTGCTATTTTTGAAAGTAATTTGCATGATAAAAAAATAGGAAGGTAGAACCGCTGAGAGGAATTTTTCGAATTTTAAAATGTTGGCAAACTTCAAAAAAAAAGTCATGGCCGACGAATTGAGAAAACGGTTTTAATTTACTATGTTTTTATCATGGTAATTTGTAATTTTCGTTTTTGATATCCAAAGAATTAAAAATGTGATACAAAAAAAAGATAAAAAGGAGTATTTAAGTAACCTTTGAGGGTGACTTTTTACTCTTTGAGGAGGTAGAAGGACATATCGTGTCAACGGAGGACTGCCCTCCCTGAAGGAGGACGGTCGACAAGCCTTATTGGGTATAACTACGGTGACCATATTAACCAACGTAAAATAAAGGACATTTTTTCAAAATGATTTGGGAATACGTACATACAACTTGTATTATAAAAGTATCTTACCCATATCGTGATTTATATCAAATATTTATAAGTTAATTATATTATTTAATTGTACAAGTTCCGTGCTGTAGCGAAAAATGAAGCCGAAACCTTTTTCAAGGACTTCGCAATCCTTTGTTACGAAAATTCGTTTATCATAATTCATACTGCGCGACGAAGCCAGCACACAGTGGTTCAAAATTGGAATTTAATGTTCATAATCCACCGGAGCCTTCATTTTTCAACCATTTTTTACTAAAAAGCAAAAAAATCATTTTGGTGCACATTTTTTATAACATTTCAAATTTTTTTTTTATGTATTTTTTTTTGTTTTGGGTGAACCATGATAAAAACGTTAGAACGTAAAATCATTCTCTCAATTCGTCGGCCATGATTTTTTCCTGTCGTTTTCAAACATTTTAAAATCATATAAAATTTAAAATAAAAAAATTTAATTGTTCACGATTGTTGTTGTTTGAGATAAAAAATGAGAATGTGTTTGAGATTGAGTTCGAATTTTAAAATTATATTGCTGGCAAACGTCAGACTGCCTCTCAATGATTTTACCTTGTAATGTTTTTATCATGGGGTGAACCATACGATTGTTTTCAACTAGTTTCTCTTATGTAAGATTTAGTAACTGGAACAGGAGAATATTTTTTCTTTAAAACTGCTACTTTTTCTGCATTTTGCACAAAAAAATTTAATACAATAGAATAAAAATTCAGAAATCAGGCTCAAATGGTCTATTGCAAATACTGTAACCTTTCATAAAAAAAAAATTAAATTAATCAAAGGAAGTGAAAAATGCTGGCTTCGGGGAATTACGAACACTAAATGCCAGTTTTGAACCACTGTGCAGTAGGAGGTTTATTGTTCTCTTTCAGTGGAACTGGAAACTCAGCGTACAAGATGATCCTGGGCACAACTTTCCCTGTTCTTTATAGATTGTACAAAGATAACTGAGTAATTGGAAACCCATAAGTGGGGTGCAAAACAAACTAGCGAAGGTTTTCATTGTATTTTATAAGGGACATTTTTATTTTTTCATATTCTGCGTTTAAAAATTTACCTCTGAAAAATGCAGAGCCGATTTAAAGGACAGTTTAAGAAATAAAGGACAAAAGGCGTCCTTTATTTTGAATAAAATTATAAAGGACAATGGGTTAAAATAAAGGACTGTCCTTTAAAATAAAGGACTGTCCTTTAAAATAAAGGACGGATGGCCACCGTAGGTATAACGTATACAAAATAACCAATGGTCATGCAGTATTATTATATATTAATCAGTATTTTTTAACCTTTCACTAAATTTGGGTCGTGTTACTTCTGAGTAAAAATAAGGTCAATTTGATAGATAAATAATTTATTTATTGATTGAATATATATTTCTAGCAAAACATACATATATATATATATATATGTGTAGTATGATAGTGTAATTACACAAAACGACGGCAATGATATTACATCCAATTGTATATTTCTGTTGTTTTCTGCTGTGGTAATCTCCAAAGTTTTTACAAAAACGTCTGCATGTATGAGTGAATGAAGGAAAAAGTACTTTAAATATGTATTCTCAGCATTCGCCAAACCTTTATTAAATTAACATACATACGTACATACATATAATAGAGTGTGAGAGTATGCATCTTCCAACCATTATTACCATTCAGCTACTACGCAACATTTAAAATTTATTTTTTAAATAAATTACATAGAAATAATCTGAGAATATTACGAAAAGTTTACAGTACATAGTATTATGCTCTTCATATGCTTACTTGCTGTAAATTTAAATTTTTTATTTTTTATTATTTTTTTTCTTTTTTGTGTTTATAATTTAAATGAAGTAATGAAATCATGCCAATCAACAATTCTGCTACACCCATGTGCCTTTAGCTGAATGTAACACCAGCCAGTCAGCAGATTTTGCCCACGAGGACAACCACCGCGCAGGCAGCAAAGAGGCAAATGACAGCGTAAGCAGGCGCAGAGCAATGTGCGCTTATCTGGGCAGCGAACACATCTCGCATGAGCTCAATTCGCCAGGATTGATGAAGGTGCAATGATTACATTGCCATTGATTGTTCGCACCGGCAGCAGCCGCGGCAGAGCTGGCGCTAGACGCAACAGCTGTATTACTAGCAGAGGGACCACTGAAAATAAAAGGAAAAAAGTAGGAATAAGAAATTAATGACACAACAACAACGAAAAAAAAAACAATAAAATGAGTTAAGTGAAACATGCTTAGATCAAAGCCTACGACAGATACATGCGACGTGCTGTGCGGCTTATAGTCAAGTGTCTCTGTTTCTCGCGCTCTCTCTTTCCCTCCGTACTACTCACCTGCTAACACCGCCAGTGCTCGCTTGTATTAGCGACTCCAGCAGCTTCCATGGTTCGCTAGCCTTAAAGCTGTATGCCAAATCTGTATTTTTGGTGCGTACGGCCTCCAACAGTGGGCCCATGTGTGTTCGCAATGGCACCGTGTCCATTCTATACAAAAACAGCAACAAATGAAAATCCGAAATTGCCTCGAGAAACTCCTCATCCATCCAGTGGGATAGATACGTGCTTAGCGCACTAAAATCTTGCAAATGTCCATCCAGGTAACGATTCTCCACGGGGAATGGTTCACCACGTTTCTTGTATTGAGTGAATGTGAATTGCGGCTGAAGTGGTGTTGAGGCGGGTACATCAACTAGCAAATATTCGACTGGCAAAGGACGCGCCAAACGTTGAACTTCATTGCCATATTGGTCTTTTTCCTGCAAGTAAATAAACCAAACAAAAAAATAAGAGAATTAATATATAAAGATATAAAAATTTATGCAGGCATATGTGTTTGTGTGGAGTGGCGTGTGTGGAAGCGCGTTAGGCAAAATTTTGTTTGATTGCTTTCAAAACGGCAAGGCGGTGTAATAAAACATTCCACAGCGCTGCAAATACACAAACTCGTACACAGTAAGTAATATAATGTGCTTGAAAGTATATGTACGTGCCAAGATGTATTAGTCGAAGGCACGTCGAAAGAATTCATAAACCGCTATTAAAAAAAAAAGATGAGTTAAACGATTTTATGGCTCCAAAAATTTTACTTTCTTGAATGTGGTTTTGCCAATTGGCTCACGTTTTTTGGATGGGTATGTGCGATCGGTTTTTGATGCGCGAAAATTAAAGCTCTTCTTCAGAGTCGTAAAATGAACGATAGCGTTAATTTTTTATTATATATATGATTGCATGTAAATACATACTTACATATGAATACGCCCTAGGGCTATCAAATTCGTATAGGCACACACGTTTTGTTCTAATATCCAGCAAATATTTATGTATGTATTTGTATATATGTGTGTATATATTTACATAGCCCTTATATAAATTGAATCGGGGCCATAACACAATACCTTGCTTGGCAGCTGTCCTTCGGGTGGATTAGATGCTTTTTTATATACATAAATAAAAAACTCCTAATCGGACTCTTACCGAGGTAACAAAATAACAAGTCATTTTTAGCAAAAAACAAAACCGACTTCAATTCTCATATAATATATATATATTTGATGATCGGATCTAAACCAGATTAGTATGGGACACCTCTGAGACACTACCTTTCCGATGCAAAAAGAATTATGGAAATCTGTTGACATGGTCCACAGTTATGCGGTAACATACATAATAAAAAAAAATAAAAAATAAAAATATTCCGACCAACTGATAACCTCCTCCTTTTTTGAAAGTCGGTTAAAAAAGGCAACTAGTGTAGCATTGTATCTGGCAATGCTGCGCAGTGCTAGTTTTCAGCCATATTTAACAAAAAAAAGTACAAAAGTATAAGCTCTTGCGAAACCGAACTTTATATTCCCGGCGCACGTATGAAATATAGTTTTTTTTATCTTTCTGGAAACTAGCGTTACATAGTAAGCAGGGGTGGTTTTACCCCCATTTGGCTCCGCGATATTATTACCGCGAGTATTGAGACCAAAATCAAAAAATCAAATTACGCCCTGCAAGCATAATTCATTTTGACAAGTGAAATAAGGCGGCAATCAAAAAATTAATTGGGAAATTATTAGTTATTTGTACAATGGTTTTGTGATGACGGCAAAGGAAGAAGGCACCTAAAACCCCACATATTAAAAAACTATTCAAATTTTAGGAAAAATTGACCTTCCCCACTCGGGTTACGCCATCCACAATATTTTTGCAAATAACCCTCTGCGGTCCAATTCCGGCTACGCTGACCACACAATTTTTGCGCAGAACACCTTTCCACAATGGAGCTTTCGGCCGCGCTTAGAAAAACAACCCTTATCACTCCAACTGCCACTATGGCATCCACAGTATTTTTACGCCGGCATAATTCATTTTGAAAAGTGAAATTAGGTTGCGATCAAATAGGCCGCCGAAGAAATAAGAAGGTGGGCCTTAATTCACGCGGTCTAAATTCCATTAACAGAGTTCTTAGTAAGCCAAAGTGAAGCTTCTTTTAACACTGTGAGTGTGTGACTTGAAAAACGTTGCAGTGCTTTGAGAGCATATTCAAGTGAATTTCATTTCGAGATTTTGGTTCTAATTTAGAGGCATCCATGTACATTAGGGTGCAGCGGGGAATTGTTGTCTTTGGACGTCAATAGAATACGCCTAACATTTTTTGAAATCGGTTAATACTTTCTGCCTCTCCTTTTTGATTAAAATTTTGAGATTTTTTTAATAAAGTGTAAGTTTGAAGTCGCCACAAAATATCGCTGATTTTTGGATTTTCGTTTTTGTTGGTGTTACGCATTTTGATCCTTACAAATTATGTTCGATGAGCAACACATTCAACAAAGAAAATTGTTAAAATTCAAGGATAAGTCTTAGCTACCACAAACTTGCACCTTATTGTTCTAAAATTTAATGGATTACAAAACTGCATACTTAGAATTCTTCCAAAAATGATTATGATAAATAATGTTATTTGTTTAGAATTTACAAAAATTACAAAATTTTAGTCAAAAAAATTATAGTTTAAAACACTAAAACCTCCCTATTATAATTGCCATACGTACTGTCATCAGGTATATAACTTGAGAATAAAAATCGCTGCATCTTTTAGGCGCATAAATATTACATAGTTACATCCCGAGCTAATAAAAGGAAGATAAGAAGGTAAAAAGGAAAATTTCCAGGGTATTCCATTGACGTCCAAAGACTTTTGTTTGTTTAATGTTTATTATTTTTTATAATCTATACATATATATAAAATAGTAAAAAAACCGATGTCTGTACATTGTAAATACTAAAGAAATATTATTAAGGGCCCCCCCGCCCCCCCCCTTCTTTATTAGAGCAACAGAAGCCAAATCAACAAACAACAAACGCATCACTCGAAAACTAATACATGGAATCGAAGCATGTATTGCTTGAAATATAAGTTAAAATATAGAAGAGAAAAATTAGAGAGTTGCCACCTGCTTGAAAACTGCAATTTAGTATCTAAATTGATAAGATAAATAAAACATTGCAATTTGGCAGCCAAAAGAAAGAGAAGACTTACAACCGAAAAGCTTTTTGTGGAAGGTTGCCACCTGTTTGAAAATTTTAATTCAATTTAAATAATAAGATAAATTAAATATTGCAAGATGGGTATCCAACTAAAAAATTTAAGAAAGTTTACTGCTGAAAATATTTTGAGGAGGGTTTGAAAAATTGTACTCTATTAAATTACTAAAATAAATGAAGTAGAAAATGGGGCACTCTCTTATTTTTTTCTTGACTATAAATCTGAATATCTTGTAGGCTCGAGAACGAATGAACTTCGCAATCGTCCTTTGAAGGGATTCGTGCTGAAAATTCGTTCCCAAGATTGAGATGCAGAGTAGTTAAATTTGAGAACCTAAAAACGTCGATGCAGTCGGTGGAATTTTGTATTAACCGAAGACATACTAAGTACCGGTCTTATTCAACATGCTGTGCAAGATGACGCTTGAAGTATCCCGCTTTGAAAATGGCATTGCTACACCGTTAGAAGCGGATATTTGGGGACATTTGGTTTGTCTCACGAAGAAAGCTATGACTGCTTTTGCGGTATTGGCATTAAGTCCACATTCTTTTGATCATGTTCTCAAAGACCAGGTCGTCCGCGTATGACTTTCTTACCTGCATGCTGTAAACGCCTAAACAGGGTGCTTTATAGTGATAGATCCCAAAAAATAAGTGTGGGGAGTAGCTTGTGCTAAATGTCGCACATTCATATGCCATTACTTATTTAGTTATATTTAATGAACCGTTATAGAAATAGTACAAAGGTTGAGTAATTTGCTCTTACAAGAACACTCGATGTTCCATAACATGAAACACAAATGCGATTCTCTTCATGCTTTGTCAGTTAGTTTGAAATAAACTTTAAGGCCAATTTATTTCCATAAGTACCTACATACATACATACATACATATGTATGTACATATTGGGGCTTTCATAGAAAATCCAAATATGCCCGCACTCTTGCTGTGTAATTTTTTTTTTTAATTTTTTTTTTTACAGCAATCACCTCATTTTATCCACATCAGCGTCGTCTGCACAAACAATGTGTATGTATGTATGTAAGTAAAAAAATGTCAACAATTTGAAAGTCAACAAAGCTGTCGAAAGAATTCATGCGCCTTGTGGCGCTCAATTGACCTAATTCGGCTGAACACACTTTGGCAGACAGCAGAGGAGAAGGGAATTTCAGCTGTTCGAAGGATAAGAGAGCTGTAAAAGAGCGTGCGGTATGGAAGAAGTGATGACTTCATTGCTATCTACACTGTGCTGGGTGCTCCAGCGCTTTTTCTCTCTCTCACTCTGCTGTTTCTTCACACACTCCTGCATATTTATCACGTTGCTCCCGAGTAAGAGCTTTTGCAACCTGTTTGCATTTTTCCTTGATATTTTTTCACCTTTTTCGTTTGTGTCCTTCTGCTGATGTCTTGGCCTTCCACAAGGTTATGGATTTGGTTTGTGTGTGTGTGTGTGTGTGTGTGTGTGTGTGTGTATGTTCCTGTTTCTGTTTGATGCTGCTAGGCCAAATAGATGGGCGTACATATGAATAGTTAAGAGGCAGCCACTACAATTTGCTGCTAAGGCAATGTTACTATTTTTTTTTGGTGCACAAGTAAGTATGAGGAAGGTTCTTGCCACTGCTGTGCGTATTTATTTGCTTATGTTCTTTCAGCTTGTGAAAAATATCATTGCGTCTTCTGCGTAGAGAATTTTTATGTACTTATTGAGGGAGGTATGGAAACGTTGCCTTGTTGTTGTTGCAGGCCCATAGATTCCTCTCTTTCTACATCTGGTATTTCCATTGGGTTTGCACGTTCATTTGTATGTATATATGTTTTCTTGTGGCAAGTTCAGTATGAGGCTCAAGGTTATCAGGTCAAGTATTTATAATTAGGACATACGCTTAGCTGAGTAAAATGAATGCTTTGAGGACACTTTTAAACAGCCAATTGCAGTGGAATGAAATGCATTGCGCTGGAATTAGCTGCGAGGAATAAAATGCTTTCGACTTTAGTTACATTTTTCTTTTCGCTAAAGCTCAAGAAAATGCACAAGGGAATTAATTGTTTAAATGGGAAAATATAGCGCGTTTTTGAATTTTCATTTTTATTTAGGTAATAAAAAATATAGGTACATAAATAGTTGCTTGTGACTTAACTTTTTCACAAGCCTAATAGTTTTCCTTATGCATGCTTTACGTATGACAAGATAGATACCATACCTCAAGGTTCGATAGTGAATATT